TTGTGACATTCAGCTTTCTGGTGTTGGCTTGTTTATTCAAGTGTGATGACATATTGTGGTTTCATCACCATGCTGCCATAGAGATGTGGTTAGCCTTAGGGGAAGGCAACTAATCTCTCATGTGTATTACAATTGCAATTTGTCAAACTATTGAATCTTTTAAATATTTGCTTATTTAACAATTCTTAATATCCAAAATGCTGTGTGATTTAAGGGCATAAATTCCAAATGTTGGATGTATAGCAGGTTTCTCAAGGTAAGTCTCTGAAAAGCACATGGCAAATGAGAGGGTCAACCTGCTACTCATGTTCCTTTAAGACTAAGATAACACTCAGTGTTGCTCAACTCTGTTATCTAGTTGGAGGCAAGGAACATCCTGAAACACCTTCCTAATACACCACTTAATGACAGTCACCATCAGACACATCATCTTAATGCCCAGCCTTAGCAGATGTTTTTGTCATTATGAAGAATGGAGAAACCGAGCCACTTCTTGGAATGGGAATTTGAGTTACTGGGTGAGTCATATTCTGCAAAGATTTATTAAGCATTGGTATATTAATATATTTGGCACCCAGAGCTGGTGTCATGAATATCAAGGCCCAGTATTTTCTCAAACTGAGTTGTGCACCTCCCCTGGACGCTTTTGGGTGTACCAAGGCAGTGTGTTCACAGATTGCTGAAGGACTGGCTACATCACTAGAAGATCCCTTCTGCATATACACCACTTGCAGTGCTACTCCATATTACATAAATGTGACAGCAAATCATAATTTCAGCACATGCAAACCAAAACAGCAACTGATTCTAACACTTCTTCCCCCAACACAAGAGACCAATCCACTATGAACCTGTTTGATCCTATGGCAAACACCAATGTAAGTGCTGTCTCTTCAGCCAACACCAGTGGGGTAAGATCCTACCTCTACAGTATCCCACTCCCATCTCTCTACAGTACAAATATTCACTAGAAGTACTGAGGAAAGTTTATAGTTTAGGATAAGATGTTAATGTTCCAAGTATGAGAAAAGAGTTGCGATTGTAAAGGCAAAGCTATTTCTCAAAAACATAACAAACATGTCTATTGTTACTTGCTCTGTGCAATGGAAATATGCAGAACGGCCGCAAACCTCCTTTACTCAGGTTCCCTGTTGGCGCTCCTGGCCCCCCGCTCTGTCCAGTGCCCCCATTGTCCAGTGCGTGCTCATTCATGAGCCCCACTGCTGTGTCCCATAACACAAACTGTGGGACTGGGCCCCACCACCTGCTCCCTCATCGCTGGCTTTGACAGCGCTGGGAGCCAATGACTCCTGGGGGTTTATTTACTAAAGCTGGAGAGTCCAAAATCAGACTCCCTTCTGCATAGAAACCAATCAGCTTCCAGGTTTCATTGCCAAAGCTTCATTGAACAAGCTGAGGTTAGAAGCTGATCGGTTTCTATGCAGAAGGGAGTCTGAATTTGGACTCTCCAGCTTTAGTAAATAAACCCCCTGGTGTCCCAGCAAAGCCAGTGAGACACGGAAGTAAGGGGAGAGAAGAGCTGCAGCTATGCACGGCGCTGGGTCAAATGAAGGCTCAGGTATGTAAAAGGGGGGGGGGGCAAGGGGGATGCTGATGCCTAAAAATGTTTTACCTTAATGCAGGGAATGCATTAAGGTAAAAAATGTTAAGGCTGTAAAGCCACTTTAAATGTGCCTCAATTTTGGACATTATTCTATGATAAAAATCTTTTCAATATGGACATTATTCTATGGTAAAATAACATACCTGAGTAAGGCCTCTTGCACACTGCTACCTAAAAACACAGCGGTTTTAGACATACAGGCATTTTGTTTTCTACTGAAATAAATGCAGACTATTGGTTTCAATTTACATGTACACACATGTGCTGCATATAGATCAGTAAAACAAAAAATTACAGAAATCTGTGTTGCTGGTCAATATCTTCTATGTGTATACACACACAAAATATGTGCATGTGCCACACTCCTTGATTGAAATAAATCTAGAAGAATTTTTACCCATTTGTACACATACTCACAAAGTGTGCGCAAATATGCGTGTTATTTCTGCCAGGAATGTCTGATGTTTATACATCAGTACAGTGCGCAAATATCTTAAAAGTTCTCATATCTTTGTAATGTTTAGTACACATGTGGGAGGTGTTCAGCAACCAGGTAGGTTTTCTGGATATGTAATGTGTTGCTGTACCTGTAAGGTTATAATGCTGGCCATACACTAGTAGAATTTTGTTTGAAATGCTTTGTTTTGAGTATGTTTGATTTTCTAATCATTATTGAGGTCAAATCGACATTTCTTTTTGATTATAGTGACAAGAAGATTCAAAGGAGCAGGATGGAACTTTTTTTTTTCTCAATCGAACAAATTTCTAACCGGGTATATGGTTTTCATTCAGGAAATTATAATCATTCCAAAATTAAATGTTAAATGCAAATTAAATTATGAAGTATTTTTAAATAACATTCATCAAATCATCAAATGTACTACTCAGAATTTTCATTTGACTCTTCCCACGAAAATCACTAGTGGGTGGCCAGCTAGGGAGTGAGTGAAGTGATGACAAGACTAACAAAAGTGATCATAGATATCTCTCCTTTATTTATTGATCCTTACTGAGGTGTGACCGTCTTTATAACTGTGTCCTAAGGCTTGGTAAGTATTACAGTTCAAGCGTTCTGTGGGCCCCCCGAAAAGGTGGCACAACGAAAAGCACAGACATTGAGAAGTATCAGGGGTAATTTCCTATTAGCATCAGTATCTCTTCAGGTGCCTTACCCCGTCCAAGCCTCTGTTCATGTGTACCTGCCTCTGTTTCATCACTCGAGCTTGCAATCTCCTCTAATGTGTCATGGGTCCCACCAGGAAACATGTCCTGGTTCTGCAGCAACACTAGCAGCTTGATAGAACTGGGTTTTGACAGTTCGGCATTACCCTCATGTACTGTATGGGATAAGTGGGGAGCTGAGAAGAGGTTGGGGCTTTAGGGAAGCAGGAGGTGAAAACATGGGAGGTATGATCAAAGCTGTGACCTAGAGCAGAAGATGAATTGGGCAAATCCAACATGACAGTGTTTGATACGGGGCTAGGGAAATCTGGAGAACTTTAACTGTGGCGACTGAAGCATGTCTATAAGAAGAGTCATAACCGTTCCCATAGTTATATAGCCCCCCACGAAGCGTGCTTTTAACTATAGGATAGTTAGCACATGGCCTATACATGAAGTGGGGGGTTAAAAAATGCTTGACTCTGTTGATGCTATGAGTCACAAGGAGCCACAGACCAGAAGTGCTGTGTCATGCCCAATGGGCCTTATAGCAGACAGAATCCTTGTGACTCTTCAAGTTCAAAGCCACATACATTTGGTTATTCTTTGTAGTTTAACAGTGGGGTAATTGGGGTAATTTTTTATTTGAATATGTGAGTATAATTTTTCATTACAGTCAGCATCTCCACTGTGCTGCCAATTACTACAGAAACGTAACTATTTAAAGAATCTGCATTCTGCTTGCTTCAGTATAAACTAAGGCTGGCCATAGCTTTGACCATATTTCCAACATTACCGTTTGAGGGAAGCTGATTGTTCTAGTGGCCATATGTTTATCCAACAGCAGCCTCAGGAATCCCACCTAGAGAATCCGCTACTGAAGGGGCATAACACTCACATACTGTATGTCGGACAGCAAAGGGTAGGATCATTTGCTATACATTGCACAGTACCATCCTAAATATTACCACTTATTCTCTAGCATTACTCTTTTGAGGTTATGGTCAGCCATCCACGGATATTGATATATAGAGATATTACTATATGACAAGCAATTGGGGCATTTGTTTATTGGTGATTAGGGGAAAATCATACACAACTATTGATGTGTAATAGTAATTTGGTGTAACACCACTGAGCAATCTGTTGGCGATGAATTGTGTTCATGTAATGGCCCCTCCCTGTTTTGGGAGGAGTGTCTGTTCAGTATTGGTTGTGTGGAAGAATTTCTAGTATGTTTGTTTTTTTTAATTCTGTTTATTGAGATTACAATAAGGCATAAGTGGTGCCAACACAGGGGTCTGCCATAGCAATTGACATGTCAAAAAAACAGAAAACAAAACTATTCTACTTTTACCCATGTGTGTGTGTCCCATATAGTTATCATGAAAAGCCGTATGAGTGAAATATTGCCCCTCAGGTAGAGGCCTAAAGAACCCTCTCTCTCCATGTCATGAACAACATGGATTGTGGAACAGCATTACACAAAAAAAAAAACATCTTATAGTCCAGCTGTGGAATAGTCGTCCTGAAGCCTCTTGGACCACACCTTGGTAAACTTTTTAGAGCAACCTCTATGACAATAGATATCTTTGTACAATGGTAGGACTCGCTGTTGCCAAATCATTACTGTTGGAGGAGTGGGTTTTTCCAGGTGAAGGTAATGGCCCTTCTGGCATAAAACAGGAGAAGCCCTAGTAGAGTCTGCTCAGCTATTGTGGGGGCTAGATCTTCAACTAGGCCCAATAGGCAAATACATGGAGGAGGGAATGCAATTCCAAACACCGAGTAATTTCTAGTATATTTCAATGGCCATGAGATTAACAGAATGATGGTTCGTCCCTTGAAACGCATCAGATTGTGCATCTGATTGATGCTTAGGTTAAAACACTTCAACCTCTTGACCTTATTGTCTTTTATTCAATGCCTTTAGCCAGGGGTGGGCAACTGTGGCCCTCAGCTGTTGGTGAACTAAAAGTCCCATCATGCCTCTGCCTTTGGGAGTCATGCTTGTGGCTGTCAGTTTTGCAATGCCTCGTGGGACTTGTAGTTCTACAACAGCTGGAGGGCCACTGTTGCCCACCTCTGCCTTTAGCCATTTGGTTCTATGTTTTTGGCATCTGTTGTCTTTTAATAAACTTTAATTTGATAATGTACTAGACCAGGGCGTAAAATTGCAAGTCCTGAGCTACTAGCCAGACCTTAAGAGTTACTCGCCACCAACAAACACACACAAACAGAGACACCTGTACACACACACACAGCCATGTACATACATACACACACAGAAACATATACACACACGCACATAAAGACACATGTATACACACACAGGCATGTGACAGCATACACACAGATACATGTACATACACATGCACAGACACATGTACACACACAGACACATGTACGTACATACACACAAACACAGACACATGTACATACACACACATGTACATACACACACACATGCGCACACACAGCCCTGTAAAAAGTTGCAGTACTTCGTTGTTCACTCACAGAGCCGGGTACTGCACTCTAGGGGGAGACAGAGAGCACAGCACACACTCCTTCCTTTGCTTTCACTGCGCTCATCTATTGAGCAGTCTGTCGGCTCCCAATGCCAATGACAGATCCGGCCTGAGCTCCGAGCCTGCTCAGCAAGATGGCCCTGGGGGACATACTCGCCCCCACCATAAAATTCCACTCGCCATTGGTGAGCAGGCGAGTGGAAATTTCAAGGCCTGCACTAGACCTTTGCACCCTCTTGTTATCTTGGAAGCTGACCATTAGATCCACTTCTCTCAAGCGGGAACTGATATCAATGGATTGAAATTCAGCCGGTCCTTTTGGGGAAAGTCAAGGGTGGATTTTTTTTTTATTCCTTAAGTCGGGCTTTAGGAAAAATATATAGAAATCTGTCATGAAATAAATTTAAGGGGTGCTATTGCAGTTCTAGTTGCCTGGTTGTCATGAAGGTCCTCCAGTTTAGTCTGTAAATCATAAATAGAATGTAGATAAGGACTTTTGACTTCAGCATACTTGTTCTAGGGCAGTGAATCAAAGTATTAAAGCCAGATAATCTGTTTATCTAGAACTTTCAGGTAGGTCAACAATGAAAAATCCTTTTTTTTTTCTTTTTTTTCAGATTGTTTAAAGTGGTTGTAAACCTCAGACATGAAATATAAGCAGAGCATATCCTTCTAAAGTGTGTACTTGCCTCAATCCAGGGCACTAAGTGTTATTTCTGTCTGCTACCTCATTCCTCTGCTATCTGAATGAGTCACTTCTGACAAGTTTTTCTGACCAATGGGTAAAAAGGCCACAAAGGAGAAAGCACCAACACAGCCTGTGATTGACAGCCTCAGCTCTGTTCCTGTATGCTGTTTGAAAGCGTGTGTGTTCCTTCCCTCCAATCAGCTCTCACTGAGTTCTGCAGGCTGTAGCTTCATCTCCCTGCCCTCTGCTTTCTGAAAGCTTAGACAAGCTGTATAAATTCTGGAGTTTGAATGTCTGTGGAGAAAAAAAGACTGCAGATAAACATGTACAACTTATGTAGGAGGATTTGCGTCATCTCTCTGTATCACCTGATCTTAGTCACTTCGTATATGAAAGGGTTTACAACCACATTAAACTGGTAAATGTAAACTGTGCTTAAAGTGGTTGTAAAAGTTAAATTAAAAAAAAAAAAAAAGTGCGTGTAGCAGGGCCCCCAGCCCTTTCCCCAAAACTTATGTGAGCCCTATCTCAATCCAGCAATTTGCACGAGGGCCTCGACTCTCCATTATTGGCAGCAGTGGTAGTCATTGGCTCCCACTACTGTCAATCACAGCCAGTGAGCCAATGAGAAGAGAGTGAATGGACACACAGAGCAGTGGCTCGGGAGTGAGCCTGTTTAGGTACCCCCATAGCAAGCTGCTTGCTATGGGCGAGGGTGGACTTGAAAAGAGGAGGATCAGGGCTGCTATGTGCAAAAAATGCAGGTAAGTATAAAATGTTTATTTAAAAAAAAAAAAACCTAACCTTTAATATCACTTTAAAGCTTCATAGTGTTTTGCTTTATTAAGAAAACAATGAACAGTAGCTCAGTAGTCCCTCTAAAAGCATACTGATTTCATGTAGTTATGACTGACATATGTCTACGTGCTAAGTTCTTATTGCCTCTCTATGATAACAGATGGCTATTTAAAAGGCCTATCTAATCATCAGAAATACAGCTGAACAGACTGAAAAGACACTGAAAAGGAAGAAGTGGTCAGTATACAGTAGGATGGTTAATCATACATCTGCTTCATTTTTTAATTCCATATTTAGCTACGTTCTATCACATTATAGGACACCTAAAATTATACATTTTACATGACTATAGCTCATAATAAGGAGTTCAAATATAAGTGTCTAATTGCTGAAATCTGGAGGGTCATGACAGAAAAAGGGCATTTGGCTAGTCACAATTTTTCCATTTAAAGGGAAAGTGGTTCTACTACAAAGTTACTTCTAGATCATATTTCAGTGACTGAGCACCAAGCTCAGAGAGAAAATTAGGTTTGTAGTTCTAAGAAAAGTTCACATAGCTATTTGTCCAGCAAAACTACTGGTACACTCGTTGTGTGTGAATGGAGCAACATTTAATAGACTCCTATTTACTCTACAGGTCAGATGTTACTTCATAAAAAAACAACGGTTCTGGAAAATACAACATTTTGGCCACTAGATGGAGCTGAGGATCATTATTTCCTTTGATCCTCAGCACCAGCTAGTGGCCATAATGCAGTATTTTCCTAAAACACTCTATTTATTAGAGAATGAATAACTTTGGAGGGAATAGAAGAACATTCAATTTAGCCTCATTCACACAGAACGAATGCACTAGCAGTTTCACAGGACTAATAGCTATGCAAATATGTTTAGAAATGCACCCCTTAATTAATGTATAATGTTCATTTCTACCTCTAATTGTAAAATTTGTGCTCTCTAGATCCTTCCTTTTATTTCATACCTGTGACTGGAGATAGAACCATTGACTTACTCATGTAGTGCAGACCCCTAACAGAGGTCCCAGATTCTCTTTGCAATTGAGTGCAAAGCAGCCAGGTACACAGAAGCGCCCACACTCTCACCAAACAATGACCAGGCAGTGACTGTCTATGTAAGGTTTAATGCTTGTTCAACTTGGATGGGATGTGACAGTTACACAAGGGGTTAAACAGCAGACAGTCACTGATCCCACTTGCAGGCCTCTTCTCACTGTGTCTCCAGATATTTGGATACCTCCTGTCCAATATTGGCTAGACACTGTACCATGAATATCCAGGCTGGATCCTCGGTGCACCCCCTTTACTTGGTTCTAAACTGCTTCTAGGAAAAATAGACCCCTCAGCTCCTGCTGAGCTGGGATCTCGGTGAATTCTCTGCAATAGTCCCCCCGCCCAGCTTTGAAAGAGCTGGGACCTGGGTGAATACCCTGTTGCAGGCTTCAAGTAACCTGCCCTAGGGGCAGCAGCTCTTAAGGCTGGGATCTTATCCTTTTAACAAGAACCCCACTCCAGGCCTCAGACGATTTATGAGCTCTCTCCACCTCTTGAGCACACCTCTTCGGGGATTGGCTAGAGGCCATAAATATTTCAGCTCAAAGTCTTCCTCTTCTAGCCCACTACATTCTAGAACCTACTAGAACGCAGGGAGAAGTAGCTGAGCCTGCAACCTGTGAGACCTAGAACAGCAAAAATGAATCACTCACCGTTCCTCTCTTTATAGAGGAACCAAAGGACATTTTCCTGAACCTCTTTAACAACCTATTCTTATAAACCTCAATACTCACACTTCCCATTAAAAAATGAGAGCAGTGCCTGATAAACAACTTCTACTTTTTGTGACGCACCACGCTTGCTAATCTTACCTTCCCTGCTACATCAATCCGCGACATGATTCCATCTACACTTACAGTATAAAGGTTGTAGATTCAAGAGACACCCATGGCTACTGGCTACAATCTGCATCCTTATGACAAAATATGCAAGCTGAAGTATAATGGTATCAAAGATAATCATTATTTACAGAAAAAGTTGTTAAAAGCTCTCATGGAGGAAAAAAGAAAACTGCTGCAGGTCTAAAGGGGTATGCTATGGCTTTTTAGAAAGAAAAAAACAAATAATATTACTTTAAAAGTTAGCTAGATCATATGTAGACACGTTCTACAAGTTACTAGTACAGCGTTGGATTTTTGCCCTAAGATATGTGCTATCTGTATATAGAAGGATCAGCTGGGCAGAGATCCAGATGTTGCATGAAGAGCAACTCACTTCCTGGAAGTTTCTTCACATTGTGTGCAGTGAGTAACCATAGAGCAACTAATGACAAACACTGAGAAGGTCAAGCAATGAGACAGATACTGATGCATATTCCTGTCAGGACATCTTTCCCATATAAACTCATTCTGCTATGTGTTGCATAATGACGTACATCTTTAGGGTGGACTAAAAGTATAAAAAAAACCTCTACTTTTCCCAATTATTAAAATGTTGGACAAAATATAAAAACCAAAACATATGCAATATTTCTCTGCATCAATCAAATTACGCTGTTTTGTCTCTTCAAAAATGTTGCAAATAAAAAAAAATTGCCTGCTGATCTACCAGATTCAGCAAGCTCCTAACTTTCTGTGTACTTTGCTTCTGCTGTACAAAATTGTCAAGTCTTATCAGCCTTTCTTAGTTTCCTTCTGTTGGGCTACAAAACACCTCCCCTCATCATCTCCATTACATAACTGGGAGATGATCTGTAGTCCACAGAGGAGAACTGAACAGGGATAATATAGCAATCCTTGGGATTTCGGTGCAGCAGAGGCAAATGCACAGGAACCTATGCCAGCCTTACACAGCTCAAATTCCATCTGACTCCTGTTGATTTGGCTGAAATCCATACCCTGTTGGTAGTACCCAGAACAAACTCTGATTGAAAAATCGATGGATCTGGTTGGAAAATTGTTGACTGAACAATGACTGCATCTAATTCCATTCCCCTCATCATCTCCTTAACACAGTGTTTCTCAACTCCAGTCCTCATGGACCCCCAACAGGTCATGTTTTCAGGATTTCCCTCAGATGAAACAGCTGTGGTAATTACTAAGGCAGTGAAACTGATCAAATCACCTGTGCAAAATAATGGAAATCCTGAAAACATGACCTGTTGGGGGTTCATGAGGACTGGAGTTGAGAAACACTGCCTTAACATAACTGGGAGTTGATCTGTAGTCCACAAAGGAGAATTGAATAG